ACTAGGTTAGTCCCGTCGAAGTATTTTCTCATGTGGTCGTCAATGAGACTTTCCAATATCTTCGATATCACTGGGAGTAGCGCAACTGGTCTGTAACTGGTCGCGTTCTGCCGGTCACCACCCTTGAAGATAGGGGATAGGATGGCTCGTTTCCATTCACATGGAAGTTTCCCTACATCAAAGGAGTGTTGAAACAGATCGCTTAGGGGTTGGCAGAGACTTTCTGAACACTGCTTCAGGACGGATGGTCTTATGTCGTCGCAACCTGCAGACTTTCCCGAAGCCAACTTTCCCAATTTTATGAGTACCATAGCCGGGGTAATTTGAAATGTACCCAGCAGGTTTTCGCACGTTGGTCTTGCATTGTAATCTTGATGTTTTGTGAGGGTAAAATCCTCGTTACTGTTCAGTTGCCTGTGAAAGGCTAGACTGAATGTCTCTGCCATTTCAAGACTAGTAAGAGATTTCCCATCAGAACCCACTATATTGCAAGCTCCCTGGTTGGTCGGTTTTCTTTCAGACATAAACCTGTATAGGCTTTTGGGGTTCACGAGAAGCTTATTGGCGAGGTTTCTCTGAAATGTCCTTCTATCACTCCGGACTCGTATGTTACACCGATTCCTGAGTTCGAGGTACTCTTCATGTTCGGGTTGACTCTGCGATACTCGCCACGCAAACCAGGCTTTTCGCTTCGCCTGTAGAAGGCGTTGTGTCCCCCTTTTTAGCCATGAACGTTGCTTTCTAGCTTTAGGTGTGACCAAAGGAACAGTGTCTGAGATCGCCTGGTGAATGATCTCCTTTACCACTCTCCAGTGTTCTTCTACTGTAAGCTCTGTCCAATTTTTTGGCCAATTTGCTTCAGACAAAAGTCTTCGCATTTCGGTGTAATTGGCTTTGTTATAACACAGATAGGGCTGTGTATTGTCCCACTGTAAACGCTCGCGGAGGACTATGTCGAATGTTATGACCGCATGGTCACTACTACCTATGGGAGTCGTGATCTGAACGTTTTCCACTAGTAGCTGGTCACTAGTGAGCACGTAATCCAGTCTAGAAGACTTCCCATCTGGGCCCCATCTAGTATCCATTCGGACATTTTCGGTGAATCCGGCCTCCGTGATGGTATGCAGCAGATTTCGATCAAATCTGTCCTGGGCACATCCCGTCATCAAGTTAAGAGATGGGGCATTGAAGTCTCCAGCTATGACAATTTGATCATAACCCATGTCATGTGTCGCTGAAATTGCATTCAGCAGTGCCTGGTTGTGGTCTGCTCCACATGAAGGTGATCTGTAAATGCTGCCCACTAGATACTTACAGTACCCAACGGTGAAATGGCACCATATTGAGTCAGGGAGCTCAATGAGGGGAGGGTCGATTGCATGGACACATCTGAGCTGTTTGTCGACGTATATGGCGACTCCACCTCCTTCTTTCAGATCCCTATCTCGCCTGACAAGGACCATATCATTTATACTGACTTCGCTGTCTGCCACCGTAGGGGTTAGCCAGGTTTCCGTCAGTATTATGATTTTGGAATTCAGCTGTGATTGTAGGTATCTAAGTTCAGCTATTTTGCCTCTTAGACCTCTCACATTACTGTACAGGCAACTGGTAGTCAGTCTCACCACGTCCCCGTATTGGGGGGTGGTTGACGTGATGTGGGCTGTCGGTTGAGGAGTTATCCTACGAACTAGTTGGCCGATTCCCCGGGAACCGGCCTGTTGGCGTTTTTTTCTTCAGATTCAATCGGAGCACTTGGATGGCACTGGCTATCATCGTCCGTGCTGCACCGCTGTATTGTGACTAGGGGTTGGGGATGTTCTATGACAACGTTTTGCTCTCTCCTTTGGGTACGAGGCCGGCTCTCGCAGCAGCGAATGTGTCTGCTGACCTTGTCTTTGGTCTCGTACCATCTCTGGAGAGCAGTAGTCAAGTGGTCTCGGGAGCTAAACTTAACAGCTAACAGACGTGGGGTGTTAATTGACATTAGGTGAGTGGGTCGAGGCAGTCTAAAAATAGAGACAGCGCCTGAACTTCCCAGACCCACCTGGGATGCCAACCATCTCCATTGCTGAACATCGTGACAGTGCTTCTCACAAGCGTTCCCAGTTTCCAGTTCAGGAATGCCGTGAACAACCATGGAGGCAGAAGGAATAAGCTCTGGCGACTCCCTCGCCATCTGTCTTTCCTTCCATGGCCTATCTGGCCTAACACGTATATTGCAGGTCCTCCCTATAGAAAGGACTTGGGAAGTCAATAAAACTTTTTCGGCATCTTCGGCAGAGCCTAGTGTTACCCTCAGTGGGGATGGTTTGCCTTGAGGAGCAGCAGTGCCCTTATACAATCTGCACAGTTTTACTGGTTGGATGTCCAGACCCAGTGTGCTACATAAGTTGGACCACTGTTCCTGATCAAACAGGGCCCTGTTTTCCAGCAGACTACTGCTACAGTCTGGTACATTAAAGAGGATAACGCAGTTTGATCGACTGACCGTGGATTTAGGTTCAGTCCTCGCACATTTGTCATCCCCCTTAAGACCGTTTTGTTTCATCTGGTGCAACTGGGTATTATTATGTGTCGCAGTGCTGTGGCCACTTTTACTGGTGGACGGTAAGGGTCTTTTCCCGGCGACAGGTACCCTTGGTGCTTCAACCTCTGTGTCTGGGGCAGTTATGGCAGGAATTGCAAGTATAACCGGTGTGGATTTTGGTATCCCCGATTTACATGCAATTGTGCTGTTTTCTGAGTTGGTGGGAGTGAAACGTTTCACGTTTTTTCCTGATATCTCTATGCCATCTGTAGCTTTCGAGGAACTACACGAGGCTGCATTAGGACGGCAACTTGGGCATATGTACCAGAACCATGGGCATGGGTTCTTACGCATAAAATCGTAATATACCTTTGGTACTCCGGTGTCACATCTACAATGTACCCATTGCTCACAAAAGTTACATTCGAAAGCAGAGTCTGCTTGTTCGACAATAGAATTGCAGACCTTGCAATCGTCTGCCTTCTTGGGGAACGTTTTCGTCGTCTTGCGACGTCGTGAGCGTTTCTTATTGGCCTTCCTGTTTGTTTCAAGGGCTACTGTGGATATAGGTGTCATACTATTCACCTGTTTGCTTAGTTTGGCTGAAGCTCTGGTGACTACGGTGTATGGTCTCACATTACTTATCTTGGGATGAGAATCTATAGTCATTTTACTCCTAAAATAATACCGATGATTAAATGATAAGAGACAGTGGAGTTTTGTCCAATAGACTGACGGCAAAAGACAGTAGAAAGCACAGAACAGAAAGATAAAGTATATAAGTAAAAGCTTTTGACT